AAAAACTATGAAGCATAATTTTGGGAGTAAAAGCTGATTTTTTAAAAACCTATTTCATTATAATTCTGTCATACTCCAATAAAAATAAAAAAACATGTAGAACAGATCAAAATCTTCACATCATACATTTGTCTCTGTTTTGTCTCATTTCTGGACATCAGGGTAATTAAAGCATGACTCAAAAGTCTCTAACCCTCCAGAACCTCTGCTGGGAGTCTACCCAGCACAGAAGGTGTCCAGCTGTGATCGAGCAGACCTCAACAACTGCATCTCATTATACAAGAGGAGAAAAACATTCATTAGGCTGATTGTACTTAAATGACATTTTGAAGCAAAAGTGTGTAAATATTACTTAACAGCTCTTAAAAAAAACTATTTTTTTCAATATAAAAAGTAAATTTGTAGCTGGAGGATATTTTTTTACGGCATCTTTTGTCCTATAAGTTATCAGAGTAAAAAAAAATCTCAATTGGTCCATACACGCATGTGTGTGTCAGGATGTAGAGGCCTCTGCAGCTGTGGCTGGAGATGAACTGGAAGGGCAGGAGCTGTCTGGACTCCCAGGAGTCCGCAACGTAGATTTCTTCTTCCCGTTCCGTACAATAAGTTCCTCTTTGGGCTTAAACGTCAGAGGCACAAAGCCCTCCGCATCTGCCGCAAGTACAATCCACAATGGTCCTAAAATAAAAGAAAAAAATAAGAATTAAAATAAATACAAATAGACAAAACTTCCCTAGGTAATTTACCAAAAACTGGATTGTGAGAACAATGAATTAGGGGCAGATCGTGTCAATGGCAAAACAAAACAAAACGCGTATCGAGAATGATAAGCTGCTTTCATTTTAAACCTTCTAATCTGACCCAGGCACATAATCACTTCTAATTATAGCCTAGGAACAGTAAAAACAAAAACAATGGCAGCCCATGAGTGTGAGCAGATTTAACAGTTATAAATGTGGCACCCTTTAGGGAATATATTTAAACTAACATTTATAGTTTATAACCAAACATGTCTGCCGAGGAAGACCACCATACAGGTGTTCTGAAACTAAACGCAGGGGAAAGACCTACTTACAAAGGCTGCCAGGCGTCTACACAGTGCCTATTAACTGACCCTGTAGTCACAACACGGTGACGTGCAAAGAAACAGAACGTCTACAAAGGCAGTCTAGGCCCTATTTAAATTTGAACAGATATATGACACGTACCATACATCATCTCCACAACGGTCAGGTTGAAGAGATCCTGGAGGACACGCAAACACAACTTCCCGTCGCAGAGTAGCACTGGCCTCCGCTCATCAATGAACACATTCTCCGACAGCTGCTTCTGTACGAGCGTAGAAACAGTAACGTAGACGGTTTGCCGTTATATTAAAACATAACTTGGATCAGCATGAAAAGTATTCAAACACATTTCTTTCATTCTAACTGGTGTTTTATCATCAGACTAAAAATGCATGTGCTAGTTGAACAAACTATAAAAGAGTAAAAACCTGGCACGTGACGTTGACATATGGAGGATCACTTGCGTTCGGATAGACACTCGGGACCTTTCTGCCGTTCTGCGTATAGTCTCTGATTTCTGCCAGGCACTGCTGCACGTCTGCAAAGCGTGTAAAAAGCCTTTCCATGTTGTGAACAAGATGCTCCAGACCCCGCTCCTTGGCCAGGCTGGACATCTTCTCAGACGGAGGCGGAGTTGCCTCCACGTGGTTTTTCTCCAACGACTCGAAGCGAGGAGAACTCGCCCGACTCGAGTCTCTGCTGGCCTGGCCGGCTACCGCCAGGCTGGTCATTCGATTGATGTGGTCCATGTCGAAATTTTCCACGGTGATGGAGGAGGTGCTGGAGGTGGGTCGCTCCGTTGAGTCTGCAGAGCCAGTGACGGGGCTGGGTTCGGCACTCTTGACCTCCTCGACTAGCCGGCGCCTGTTCCCTGGTGAACAAACTACCCCCCTTCCAGGCAGAACCAAGTCTTTTATCCCTGGATGCTCCTTGTCATCCTTTGACAGGTGCTCTGAGTGCCTCCTAATCCTTGCACTGAAATTAGAAGAAGCTTCATGGCTGGTAGTGGAGGGGGATGGTGTGATAGCTGTCCCTTTGTCGTATATCAACTCCTTGGCAATGAGGCGAAGAAGATATTTATCAGTGTTGGACGATGGGAGGAAGGCAGGGTCGTTAGACTTCTGTCTGCCCACCATCACCAGCAGCACCTTGTCACTGAGGAAGCAGACCCCTTTGGGCCGGTCGTTCTGCTGCAGAGAGATCTGCTGGATGTTGGGCATTGCAGAGACGGTGATGCTGTACACAAGCACCATGTTACAGGTGTTAGAAGCCACTGCGAGTGTGGAGGCACGAGGATCAAAAGCAACTATGTCCGGGACCAAAATCCCCGGGATGCTGACTTTGCGAGTTGTGGTGACCTTTCGCTCGTAAGTAACCAAAACGAGGTGCGAACAGTCCTGGCCAGAGCCTGTCATGGTATCTCGACGACGCAAGTGGATAAGAGGGCTGGGGTCCGAGCGACGGTGCTTGGCCAGGAGGTGGGTAAGATCAAGGGGACCTGAGGTGGGGACGTAGGATCTCTCGGATTCAAACGATCTCCTCCTTGAATCCAGAACGTTATCGTCACCTGACATGACCACCTGTGGGGACTCTGTTTCCGTTGGCACGTCAAAAGTCATGCCAGCGTTTAACCCACACAGTTTATCAAGCGGCAGCTCTGTAGCCACGGCTACTTGGGCCTCCCCTGTGGCTTCAATGGCACAAATGTAGCCCCCCACGTCAAAGATGGGGCAAAAGGAACAGGCCACTAAACTCTTCTGGATGTCATTCCAAATGTAAGAATGAAGAGCACTGCCTATAGCCACCACCAGGCGTGTGCCATCCTTAGTCCAACAAGCACAATGAATGAGTCCACTACCTTTGATGTCTGCTTTGATCCTCCTGTTGTCCACTCTTACAGAAAACAGCACGGATGTGTCCCTCTTTGTCAGCAATGCAAGAATGTCCAGTTTGGGATGCCAGACGCAGCCTTGAGAAAGCAACGGAAAAGGCTCACTCATCTCACAGGTCTGCGTGCACAGCAGCTTGTTCTGCTCAAGGGCACTGAGCTGCAGTTGCCACACGGTAACATGCTTCTTGTGCTGGACAGCCAGCAGCGCAGGAGAGTCAGAGCAGCACAGCGGGCCCCAGAAGAGTCCGAAAACATGCTCAAACTGACCAATCACGTTGGTGTCTCCAAACTTCACCTCTCCGTTAATGAAGTAGAGGGACGTTAGGCAGACCTGTTTGCCGTCTGTCCAAGCAATCCCGTGCACAGGGTGAATGGCTTGGTGTAGAGTGTTGAGTCCTGTTCTAAGCAGCTTTGCCTTCCCAAGATCCATACTGGCAGGAACAAAATGCATAAACAAAAAGTCTCAAAAATTAAGCATTTATGACAGAGACCTATAGCTGATCTGAAGCAGGTTTGCACAAGTGTAGCCGAGTAAATTAAGAATAGCAAAAGCCTCTCCTGTCTCCCCTTCCAAGTACATGCTTTAATCCCTTCTGCCTGAGCTGAGGCTGTTGTGACGAACACCTATAGCTGCTTAGGCCGGATGACCTTAACAACATGCATCAGGAACCCAGGGTATTAACAATACTTTGTTCAGTATGTCCCTACAACAAGTCCATTTTTCAATATGGTGACATTAGGTTGCCAGCTTTAATAGCACATTGGAGCACAAACCACATGAAGAATCATGTAGTTTGAGCGCCAACCAAATGTACTTTTGTTACTTTTATCCAAGAGTGTTAAACTAAGATCATCTTGTAAGGAAATGGAACAGAGTTCTATCAGTTTGGATCAAACTTTGTTATTCATATGCATGATCTCATGAATATGATTAACAAGGCGCAACATGTGTTAGTGCTCAAGAGATTATGTTGAGACCAAGTCTCACCTAGTACCATCCCAAAAACTAGCTCGATATCAAACAATTCCTGGCCATTTTTTCTTGGCTAATTAGTAGGCGTGGCCATTTTGAGTTAGGTGGACTTGAACAGTTAATCAGCTGTAGTTGCACATCCAGTGAATACTTTCTGGGAGAAATTTTGCTAAAAGATAAAAATGGCTGATGCAAAAAGGGAATGCCAAAGTTTTAAGGAAAGATGTGCAATGCATAGTTTATGGATTTTGTGTTGTTAATTAGTATCAACTACCTCCACATCAGATTCTAGCTCATTATATGCACATTTGACTTACTTATAACTATTTTTGTGTTTTCTAAAGTCAGTTGGCTGTGGCAGCCATCTTGACTTGGGTTGACTCCATAATATTAAAATGTGTAGTTGAACATCCAATGATTACTTTCTAAAAGTTTAATTTAAATCCGTAGAGAGGTGCATGAGATATTTTGCTAACAGACAAACCAACACACACACAGAGAGGCGGGCAAAGACATTATCGCCCTTCCACCTTTAGCGATGGGCGACAATAAGAAAAATCAGCTAAATATAAACATGAAGACTTAATATACTATATAACTTTATGTCTCAACATAAACTAGCTAAGCTAGGTAACTTCAAATTGCATTTACACGTGACAAGCTAACACACATGATTTAGCGTACTAAGCAAAAAAAAAAAAAAAACGTATAATTTTATTTAAAGTATACCTTAAATGATCACCACCAGCTCATCTGAAATTCACGAAAACGAACAAAATATTTTTCTTCATTTACTTCGCATATTTACTGGTTAAAATGTGTCCCATAGATCCTTTCAGTAGTGACACGGAAGCAAAACCAACGGCAACTTTGGTGCATCATGGGATATGTAGTTAGCTGATGTCGACTTTCATACGTTAATTATTATTTTTTTTAAAACGATTTGTTTTAAACACACGTCATTTTCAAGATAAAGACAGTTAGCTAAATGTTATTTTTCTGTAAAAACATTTGCTAACAAAAAAAATAAAAAAATAAAAATATATATTTATATATATAAACGCGACAGAAACGTAAGAAGTTTGGTGTTATGGGGAAAAAAGCACCCCACGGAAAGGCTTATTTTCATTAGTGACCTGGGTTTTTAAGTTATAAATTATTATTATTATTATTATTATTACTTACATTATATTTTTAGGCATACTGGGCTGCTAGAATATTTACTACCCCCGCTAGGGACCTGAAATACCAACCCAGCTTCGCACTGTCTAAAAGCATATGTATAAATAATAAAATGATTGTAGATATTTTGGTTTGCAGTGATATTGAACAACATGTTTGCTTCCAACTTCTTTAGTGTTATTTACGAAAACAAGCGTCTTAAAATTCACTTCCTGTAACGGAAGGTGCCTCTTCCGACAGGGTGCATTTTTCGCCACAACACTGGTACGTAGCGTAGTAGCGCTCCTCGACGTTGTCTCGCGACAGTATCTTGGCACTCTTTGGCTGAGGCTGCTGAGAGAGTCTAGCTGTCCGGTTTATTCATGGTTTCCATCGATTAAGTCTCATTTTAAACCGCAGAGGGGAGACGCTGCTTGTAAAAGAAAATAAAAATCACTTTTATGTGTTTTAGCTAAACTTTGAAGTAGCACAACCACCATGGGCGTGGAAGTCGAGACAATATCCCCCGGTGATGGTAAGTAAATGTAACGGCTTGGGGTCTCGTTTTGGTGTGGGCTGGAAGTCTGGGGGCGCTCGGTGCTTCCCCGGAATGTGGTGAGTCTTATCAGGCTGAATGTTAAAAAAAAAAACGGGCTCAGAGACGAAGAGGCGAACTGTAAAGACAGCTTCAGAATGTTGCAGCCATATTTAGAGCTCCCTGTGAAGCTCATTCATGTGACTGGTTGAAGCCATGGCATGCCTTTGCAGAACTCTCCATTTTTATTATTATCATTACAAAAGAAGGGAACTTTGTTAAACTCAATTTTGCAAGATTATGCACTTAAAAAAGGTTAATTCTGAGCGAGCCATATCATGCATCTAAGTTAACATTTAATCTAAGATTGAGAGAGATGAGCTGACTTCATGCCTGCAGGCTTGACAAGGGAACACCATCACCACTAACAGAACTGTACAAACATGCATAAACCTTTGTTTTCTTTTTGTCTCAACAGGACGAACATTTCCAAAGAAAGGCCAAACGTGTGTCGTTCATTACATAGGTAACTGCTTTTCTTTTATTCCCCACTGCAACCTACATGTCTTCTTCCCGAAGGAGCAAATTTGCCCTTTTATCCAAAGTCTGCAGGTCAACGCTGCTCACGTTGCAAGCTGGTGTGCACAGTCTGTTTTAACACTCATGCACCTGTGTGTAGCTTAAAAGAAAGTGTCGCTTTGCTTCAGTTTTAAAAGCAGTATCTGCTGATTGATTGAGCCAGTCGTTTCAGTGTGTTCCGACTTGTTCCACACGCACAGATGCTTTTCCTTTTCCTGTTTGTCTCTTTGTCAGAGCGCCCAGTTTTGAGGTGGGGCAGTGAGGCGCCGAGACATTTAGGAAGCAAATTTGGGATGTTCTGTGCCTCGGGGCTGGCACTGCAGACAACTAGGTCAGACAGAAAGTAAACAAAACCTAGTTTGCATGTCATCTGTCGACTGAGTGTCATGGTTGTGTGGTTGTAGAACTTGCTGCACGCAGAAAGGCACTCCGTCTGTGGTAAAACGGTCAGGTGTGAGGTCAAGTCTCATTGTAGTGTTGAGGTAGGAATTTATTTTTTTCACTTAAAGCAGTAGTTCAGATCTTTTGAAGCAGAGTTATGTGGAAAGGTTATGAACAGTTAATATCTTACCTGCTCTGTGTAGCTCTTTGAACAACCTCAGTTATGAGGTTGCATTCCTTTTTAGGTTTTGATATATGCGTCAGCTATGATTGGAAAAGGTTCATTACAGTATCTGAAGCACATCTGTTTAATCTCCATTGAGTTTTTTTTATTGTAGTGTTGTTTCCATATTAGGTTAGTGAAATAACCAAATGTGATGATTAGATTTATTACACGTCAACATTTGGCCTGCTGTAGGATCACGCATATCAAATGACTTCCTGCTCTTCTGCCTTATATCTGTCACGATAACAAATTTTGCTGGGCAGTTAATTGTCTCAGAAATTATTGCGATAAACGATAATATTGTTCGAAATTTGACAATAATTAGTAATTATTGTCAAATTTAAGAAGAAATGATTAATTTGTTTTGAGTGTCGTACCATTTTTGACCACTGGATGGCAGTATAAGACTGAACCGAAGGGTGGATAGTGAGGAAGCGAGCAGCGTGTCGCTAAGAAAAATGGGAGGGAGGCCCCTTGACATGACATGGGCTGTCTCTCGTTCCTGTTTTTGGCTCTCAATATGGCGGACGCTCGGTATGGTTTGAGCTCTTTAGCATAGCATTTTTCACATAAAGCTTTTGATAAAAAAAATCAGTAAACAAGTTCTCAGCTTCTTTTTGCAGAGAAAATCAACTTTTTACACGAAGGCACGGGTTTCAACCGTGAATTTTGGAGCGTTAACAAGATGGAGGTTTTTTCCCACGAGGTCGGCCTGTTAGCTTAGCTTGTAGCTTAGCTTCCCATCTTAGCTGTGTTAAAGACGGGAGCTGGCTGCGGGCCACCTGACCCGGAAACTCCCTCCAGCCCACGTCTTTCCCCCCGGCTCGAATCTCCCTCAGAAGTGGCAACTCTCATTATCAATAAATCAAGGAAATGTCAATTCAGTTTTACCAACTGTATTAAAATCAAGGCAGGAAAAGGTTACAGTTACAGCGCTGGTCTCTTCGGTCTGTGACGCGTTCACAAACCCGGAAGAGCCCGATGTCCCGTGTCATTACTCATTTATAGGGTCCTGGACTCCTCCTTCGCAGAAGGGGAGCTCAACCTGTCAGTGTATGAGGGGGCGTGGCTAAGTGTGACCTCAATGGATCTTATGTGGTTCTGATGTGTTAGGAAATATGAGACGGTGCTTCAAAAGCCTTTCTACGTGATGTGGCAAGCAGATTAAACTCTATTCCTTGACAGATATTGAAATCCCAGGGAGACTCTTTTTAGAGTTGCTGGCCCAGTTTAACCCAGTCAGAACCGGGTCATAATTTCATTATAATCCCATCTCTGAGCAGATCAAAACCATAGGACCAGTTTAGATAAGAAATATCCAACAGCTGCTTTTAATGACCTAAAAACGCGATTTTGGACGGTTAAAACAGATTTTAAAGAGAAAAGAGAAAGGGAGGAGTCAGTGCAGAGCGCCAGAGTTGAGCTTTTTGTCATCCAGTGTCTTCAGTAGAAAGAGAGACACAAAGAAACGATCAAGCACATAAATAAAGACGAGGTCGATAATTTTCATAAATCATGCGATTAATTGATTTATTGTTTATTGCGACAGGTCTACTTACTATTTGTACTACTATTCCTACTTCGCATTTTTTCACTAATTGCGGGGCTTCAGGGTACGGATCCCTCGCCATAAACGAGGGACTTCTGTACATCTACTGTGGTTTTTTTTCCATTTCCTGCAAAAAGTTTCAAAATGTTGTGTTTCAAAATGGCTTGGTACTTGACCTGTATTTAAATTTTTACATCCGCTTGTTTCAGTCAGTTTGCCACCATCTTTGTTCACCTTTTGCTTTTCACTCCTCAGGATTTGTTCAGAAGCTGCTGGTATTTCAAAAGCAGTGGCCAACAAAATACCGAGTTAAGCCAAAACAAGCTTCAGCTAAGAGAAAACAAAAAGGCTAAAAACACATTATTGTGTCGGCAGGGAGGGGCGTTTGCAAAGGTTGGATGGAAAATGAACGTACTGACGTTCGAAGGAAAAACTATAGAAACTGTAAACGTGCAACCGATTAGATTCAGAACTTCGTTTCATTAGATGAAACTGCCCAGATTTATTCTAACGAATCTCATTAATAAATACATTCATGGCGCATGTTATAGATCTTACATAAATGCTTGAAAGTTGAATGAAGGTGAATGTTGTCCCATTTTTTTTTGATGCAGGATTCTAGCTCTTCAACAATCCTGGATCTTCTTTCACAGATTTTTAGTTTCTTGATGCACCAAATGTTTTCTTCTGGTGCAGACCTGGACTGCAGACAGACCAGTTCAGCACCTGGACTGAAGCCAGGAAGTTGCAGTGGATGCAGCATGCAGTGTAGCAGTATGTGGTTGAGATATGCAAGGCCTCCCCTAAAAACATTACAGTCTGAATAGGAACATGTTAATGTAAAACCTTACTTTTCTGCATTGACGGTGCCTTTCCAGATATGCAAGCTGCCAATGCCATAGGTGCTAATGCATCCCCATACCATCAGAGAGGCAGGCTTTAGAACTGTGTGCACTAACGGACATTATATCTCCTCCTTAGTTTGGACCAGGGTTTCAAAATGAATCATCAATTTACATTTGTCTGACCTCAGAACAGTTTTCCACTTTGCCTCAGACCATTTTAATGAGCTTTGGTCCAGAGAAGACTGCAGCTTTCCAGGATGGTGTTCACATTCTTTGAGAGTTTTAAGCAGAACTGGTGGATAACACAGCATGTTGTGCTTACAGAAAAATGATTTGTGTTTGGGTTGCAGAGGCCCGTGCAGCGATGTCCAGAACAGAGTCAGTCCTGTTTTTAATTCAGTGCTTCCTGACGGCCCAGTGATCACAGGGATCCAATATTGATCTCCAGCCTCGTCCTTTGCGCTCAGAAATTGTTTCAGATTCTTGAAAACTCAGTCCTCCAAATTTTCTATTGAGGGACACTATTCAGAAGTTTCTCCACTAGGTTTTGATGCAGTTTTTCACAGACTGTTGACCCTCTGCCCATATCACTTCTGAGAGGTTCAGTCTCACTAAAATGCTCTTTTTCATGGAACCAGTCCTCCCTCTGACCTGTGGACATATAAAATAATTATTTTCAAAATGCTTCTTCTGTATCTATTCATACTTTTACAGCTTTTTGTTGTCCTTATCACTTTTTTTTTTTAACATGCGTTGCTGCTTTCAAATTCAAAATTACCTTATTTTTTTCAAAATTTGGTAAAATATTTTTATCTTTTACCCGCTTGTTCCTTTTCGGATCACGGGGGGTCACTGGTGCCCATGTCCAACAGTCACTGTGCAAGAGGTGGGGGACACCCAGGACATGTCTCCAGTCCATCACAGAGACACAAAGAGACAAACAACCATCCACACTCCCAGTCACAGCTAGGAACCAGTCGCACAGAAGAGTCAAGGAAGGGATTCAAAGTGAGGATTCAAGTTCTCGATTGAGAGTTCTAATCACTAATTATCAATAATAATTGATCATATTTATCATGCTAAATCCTTACTGATAATCACCGTGGGGAGTCTTTAATAATACAGATCAGATCAGATGTGATCAGGCAGTCATATATTCACATGTGTCATGTGAAGATGAACAGCCGTCTCTGTAACAATGTGTTATTATTAATACTATAATGAAATTTAATTCAGTTTATTTGTATAACGCAAAGTCACAAGAGAAGTCGTCTCAGGGCACTGAACAGAAACATTCATATATAAAAATAGTAATTAAACACTATTTATCTGAGGAGCAGCCTGCTTTGAATTTAACACCATTAATTAATTAAATAATTAAAGGTGAGGCATGCAAATTTGTTTGGATCAAACAAGTAGCCCTTCGTGTCTTTCGGTCCCTCGGAAGCAGCTCCGTCTCAAAAAGGTTGGTGAGCCCTGATTTAGAGTCACCAGTCAGCCTAACATGCATGTTTTTGGTCTGTGGGAGGAAACCGGAGCACCTGGAGAAAACCCACGCATGCACGGAGAGAACATGCAAACTCCACCCAGAAAGTCCCCAGCTGGGATTTGAACCGGCAACCTCCTCACTGAGATGCGGCAGCTCTACTAGCTGTGCCACCCTTTCTGCAACTTTAACTAAATTTGTTTTTGCACAGAAATTGTTTGCAAAGCAAATATAAAGTGTTAGGAATACCGACTTGCAGTAATATTGGGGGGGGACAACAGAAAACCAGTAATATCTTGCTTTATGTTGTGTTTTCAGGCAACGCCACAAACGTGTCACTGTTATTAATACAAACCTTTCACGTTACACAATCTGAAAACCAACGTTTCCTCTAAAAAAATCACCTCTCTGTTTTCAGCATGTAGCATTAGAGAGCCCCCCTCTTTACAGAAACACGCTC